GTATAGCAGCTCATCTTATTAAAGTCTCAAGAAGTCCAAAGAAGGCACATAGAGTGCAACACTGATAAAGATGCAGCATCCTGAATATGGCTTTATGGGGCACATTTTGGCTAGTTCTACCTGAATGTGATCTCATCCTGGTCCTGTGAACTCATTACTGTGCACCTACAGCACTAATCAGTCTGTTGGCCAGTCTCATGTAAGCTTGACATTGTGAGCAGGAACAAGAACGCTGGGACAAGAAATGCAGAATTCAGACTCTGCAGATGCCTTTCCAGTAAAAAGTTGTGGCAGTACATGAATAGTACTGTCCTCCAGGGTCCTAAATGTCCCTCATGGCAGTGTAGTACAAGGTAGATTTTTATGCTGGCACCCTTTGGTGTCTATATTAATAAGTGTCCAAAGAACAGTGGCTAATTGTTTTCACTCACCACATCAATTTACTTAGCACCAATACTATATCATAAATTGGCCTTGTTTTTGGGTGGTTTCAGCTCAATGACGAGATTATTACATTACTCAAAATGTGCCAATGGAAAAGATTCGCTGAGATGATGGCAGTTTGAATGCCGCCAGTTTGTTTTATGTTTATCATCGGCTTTTTACAGCCATGGTTCAAGAAAATGCTTCTTCAGAGCTTAACATTGTGCAAATACTCATGTCCAGATGGGCAAAGGTTCCCAGGAAAGACTGAATATGGCACTGCTATAGCACATGGGCATAGTCATAATGACGGGTGATTATTTTTTGCAATTGCCAACTGAGGACTACAGGAAATCACACTGATGAGAATTTTTCTTTATGTGCTTTGAAGAATCTTATCTGCTATTTGTGAAAGAAACAACTACTGTGTTTTGTTTGAAAAGATTTAAGAAAGATTTTTATTTCACTCCCCCCCAAAAAAGATAGAGTAGCATGTTTTGAAATGCCTATGGAAATATTGCATATAGAGTAAGGATAATTTTTGAAATTATTCAAAAATTGCTGCAGAATTGTCTAAAAACAGAGGAAAGTCTGCCTGTGAGGACTTCAGCATCTGAAATTTTTTTGAATTTATAGGGACTGACCTTTACGTAGTTTTTTCCTGGCTGTCACTGCCATAGGTGCAATATAACTGCCAGGAGGAAAGCCCTCTTCACTGACCTGGAGGAACAAGGCGCAAAACAATAGACCATCGAGTCCTGACTCCTCATTCACAGAAAGCTGCTTGTTTAGAGGTGCAGTCTTGGAAACATTCACAAGGAATCCTCGCTGTCTTCACCAGTGTGGTGCAAACGATAGATCTCTCCCCAAATCTGATAAACAAATTTACATCTTTCCTGCAAAAACTCAAATGGAAAAGAGCTGAAGGCAATAAGGGCATTACCAATGCCCTAAGAATTTGCGATTCTAGAAACCTGAAATACCAAGGAATTAAGTAAGAATGATATTTTTTAAGCGAAGTATCCCCTCTCACCTTCCAGACCCAGCTATTTTTTGCTTATCTGACTTGGACGAATTCTCTATGTTCCCTATCTGATGTTCAGCTAGAAAACAGACTCTAGGAGGCTTTTCAGTGCTACTGAGGATAACATTTCATCTCATCTAGTATCTCCTTCCTGGCTGGGCCAATTGTTGGTGCTTCAGGACAAGGCAGAAAACTATCCCAGAGAAAAAATATTTGACAGGATGCTCCAGGACTGATAAATGTCTCTCTTGGTAAGATAAGTAATGGTAAATTGCATGGCGATTCAAGGAACAACGAAAAAAAATCAAATCAGTGGAAGAGGCTTCCGAAATTGTACATTTTCTTTAATTTCCTTGACATGATTAATTCAACAGGAATTTATGCACCAGCTCTGACATGGTTCTCGTACACAGTGATGGTGTAATCTCTCAGTCTATAGTTACTCTCCTCATCATGTTATGAAGTTTCTAAATCATTCTGCAACAGAGGAAGTTATAGTTTCCTTATTTTTCATGCTGACATTGATATTCATATGGTCGATCTAGGATCTAGGCGATGAAATCAGCAGCATGAGGACTGGAAAATTGACTCAGCATACTTTGTGAAACAAACCACTGTGTTGTATTGCCTGTTTTGTTTCACTGAGTGTAGGGGGAAGAGTTTTTCAGCTGTTCTTGTGCAAGCCAACAGAGGCCATACTTTGTATCCCATAAATGCCATGACATTTCAGGGCCTTAGGACAAAATAGCCTAAGAACAGCTGTACCACATCTCATGATAGGTTCATTTAGAACAGTATCTTGACATTCATAATGACCCATAAAGCATGCTTGGGAAAGAG